TTAAAAAGTTAAGCGCAGGACACCCAACAACACTCTCAGCTTTTCAAGCAAAAGAGCTCGTAGAAGTTCTTCTAACCATGTCACAAAGATTATTTGGTCTGTCTCCAAAAGATGAGAAACAAATGGTATTCCAGTTTTGTGAAGAAAATGTGATTATTCACAAGTTTAATTGTGCAACTAAGTCAGCAGGAAAAGACTGGTTTAGGGGTTTTTTGAAACGTCATAATATACTCTCTGTAAGAGTTGCTGAATCAACGTCATTGCATCGAGCCATTGGTTTTAATAGAATAAAAGTTAATCGTTTTTATGATGAGCTAGAAAAAATAATGTTTAATGCTCATGGAATGCAGATTATTCCACCATCAAACTAATTCAACGTCGATGAATCTGGATTGTCTATATGCCATAAACCAGAAAAAGTTATTGCTCTGAAGGGAAAACATAGTGATGGTGGCTTAACAAGTTCCGAAAGAGGAAAAACAATCACAATAGTTTGTTGCCAATACGCAGATTTTTTGTCCCTCCAATGTTGATTTATCCACGTATTCGATTGAGACCTGAGTTTTTAGATAAAGCCCCAATTGGTTCTATTTCTGGTGGCAGCAAAAATGGGTGGATAACAACTGATTTGTTTGAAAAATGGTTTGATTATTTTTTACAAGCAGTCCAGCCACAGTCAAGAAACCAACCAGTTCTTCTAATTTTAGATGGACATTCAAGTCATAAAAAAAATTTTAGTGTTATTATAAAAGCTCGCGAGACAAATGTTATTATATTATCACTTCCGTCCCACTGCACGCACAAACTGCAATCACTTGATGTTTCATTTTTTAAAAGCCTCAAAATATTCTATGATCAAAAAGTTAGTACTTGGCTTCGTCACTATCCAGGTCGTCCTGTAACTGAATTAGAGGTTAGTGAATTATTTGGAATAGCTTATGGGAAAGCTGCGACTGTTCAAAATTGTCAGTCAGGGTTTAAAAAATGTAGAATATATCCATTTAATAGAAATGTGTTTACTAAAGAAGACTTTGCTGCAGCTGAGACTTCTGATTACTCGATTGTTGTATCAAGAATTTCAAAACCTAGTATTACCTCTGAAATGAACCCTATTCTCGACAATGAGTTAGACTCTGCTAAAGATTTAGATCATATTGATTTTGTCACAGATTACGTTATTGCTTCTCAAAAAGGTAAATCTTTTTAAAAGATGTATTATTTTTACCATTTTCCACCATTTATTTAAAACACATGTGTAATTTTTTTAAAATAAAGCAAATTAATAGCTTATCTGTTGTTTTATTAACCTAAAAAAAAGTTTCTTAAAAAAATAGTTCACATTTTTTTAAAACATTTCAACTATTTTTTTATAATTTACATGTTGCCTAATTTTATTCACCTTCTTTAGTTAAATATTTTTATTTAGAATCTGCTTCACCCAACTCATCATTTACACTTCAGAAGTCGTTAGAAGTAGCCACCTCCGACGAAACCTCACGACCTCATGGTGTTACATTTGGATTACTAGCTGGATTAAAATACAAAAAGAACAGGTATAAAAAGGAGGGTAAATCATGCTGAAAAAATTACTGGATCACCATATAAATCTCAGCTAGAGGAATCTTTAACTTTGAAATATAAGAACAGGCAGCCACGTAAAAAATGCATGAAAAAAAATGTCTACACATCAAAAGATGTGTTTAAAAAACCTTGATGCTAAAGGTGTGGTTAATAAACAACTTTGTGCAATGTGTCAACAAAGTTATGGTGATCCTGTCGATCCGTATTTAAAGGATAATTGGGATAAACGCCATAAATGCTGTAGATGGTGGCATGAGACATGTGTTGCTGTATGTGGTGTTTATGGAAAAAAAGTATTTACTTGCGATGACTGTATGAAACACTAATTCTTTAAAAAAATTGTTATATCTCATATATTGATAAACTGTTTTTTAACTTTCTTAAAAAAATCTTTTTTTATAAAGGTTTCTTTGAACTTTGTATTTTATTTTTTTATGTTTAACTATTGAAGTTATGTAAAATATTATTTTATGAAATACTTATGAGCTAAACATAAATTCTTATTTAAAAATTATTTAGAAATAACTATCGAAATCATAGAAATTTGTATTCATTTCATTTTAACAAATAATTTTACTTTAGAAGCAAATTTTTCTAATAAGATTTCTGTTTTGGGAGATATATTCATACTTTACTAAAATAGGTGGTTCAAAAATTATTAATCTTTGCAATGCAACGCCCTTAATTAAATGCCAATTAGATGTAACAAATTCCATTTAAGAGACAATTACTTTATACAATGCAGATTTATAGCTGTTTATAATATTTTAATTATATTAATGCGTTTTCAACGAACTTCTTAATTTTCTTAAGTATGCCGAATTTACCGTACCATTGTGCCGAAAATACCATACTAGGTCGCTAATATCGTCATTTTTGAGTTTTTTGTATAAAAAATTTTACATAAAACTTTGTAAGTTTGAAATAATTTTCTAATTATTTTTTGATAGATATATCTGCAGGGCATCGATATGCATAATTTTTTAACGTTATTAAAGCAACCATTGTTTATAAACAACAAAATAGCTTAATACGCCGAAATTACCCTACTTTACCCTAACCATAAACTGATTGCTGATGTTTAGCATGCGAGTAGAATTGTTTTAGCTTATACCTAAAGTTTTTTATTAATTGTATTTCATATTTCCTCTTCGATAACTTTATTTGTTTTTCAATTTCTTTTTTAAATAACTTATATTGTTGCATTTGTGATTCAAATTTCCAACCAGAGTTTCTATTAAACTTCCATAAAGTATTTTTACTCTTAATTAGTGATTTGACGTCATTAGCTAGTCATTTTAAATTTTGTTTATATAGACTTGTTCTAATGACAGGTATATATTTAATACATGCAGATGAATAACAATCCAAAAACTTTTTATAGATATTTCAATATCATGTTCATTTAAAACTTTTTCCCATTCATTTTGTGAAATATATTTGTCAATCTGTTTATAATTACTTCGTTTATAATTTAAACGAATGTTTGAAAAATTTGATCGATTTTTATCATTTAAATAAAAGTTCCACCGTAAAACTAAATGATTTTTATTTTTTGAGCTGATTGGATCGTTGTAATTGATATTGAAAACTTGAACTGGTGATTCAGTCATAATTAGATCTAGAAAACTTGTTAAAACACCTTCACTAAGCTGAAATGTTGGTCTTAGTACAGACTGATGCAGTTCTGAGTCTAAAAATATATCAGCAAAAATATGAGCATCTGAATGATCAGGTCCCGATATTGACACCATACCATTGTAATCCCATGTTACTTCTGGATAATTAAAATCACCATACACAAGTATGCTTGAATAAATTATGGTTATACAGCTTGAGGCTAATTTCATCGATTCATTGATTTGATTTGATTCGATTAAGTTATATGGAGGACGATAAATGCATCCTAATAAAATTTTTTCTTCGATTAGGTTTGATAGACCAGTTATAGAAACTTCAAAGCATGATAGATGATTTTTAACATATATTACTACGCCTCCACCACGTTTTTCTACAGACCGATCTTTTCTGAATGATGTTAACGACTGCACCATGTCTCCACCATGTTTCTGTAACAAAAATAATATCTGGATCATCATTTTGTAAACGTGATTCAAATAAAAACCATTTATTGCTGAGCGAAGTTGCGTTTGTGTGCCAACATTTTATCGAATCATACTGATATTTTTGTAATTGGATATTGGAGGGCTTAATATTATTGACTTCTGTAACATTAACTTCTTTAGTATTTTGTTTTAACATACTTTGATTATCACTTTTAAATGAAAAATCAAAAGAATTGGTTAACTTCAATAAAGGATTGTAAAATAAAGGATTGTACGCGATCTATTTATTTCAAAGGTGGAAAATGTATTTGCATTTAGTGGTTGCTATTGAGTCTTTTTTTAGCTTTACAACCTGATTGAATCTAATACCATAGTAAAAATCTGGATCATTATTGCTGCTATTTTCATTTTTGCACTTATCCCTCAATAGTTTTTGTAAAATCCTCTGTGCATCTGTTAAATATGGATTTATAAATATGTTCTGAAAATCAATACTTCCCTTTAGTTTTCTTGCATTCTTTAAAATTGGATTGCGTGTTTCTCGACTATCAAACTCAACAATTACCGGTGGTGGTTTGCTTAAATCTTTAGATCTAAATCGTATGATTCTGTTTGAATAACTCAAATCTTTAATGATTTTACTTATCTTTTATCATCGTCATATTTATCATGTATATCCATTTTAGATGACAAAGGTATACCAGAAATAATTACGTTTTTTTCCTTTCTGGATATGTCAAACGATTCTTGAGAAATCGTATTTATCAAATTAAGATGCCCTGTTGATTTAGCTTTAACACCTGTAACAATACTAGACCATATATTACCAGCACTACCGATACCATTATTTGAGCTATTTAGCAAACTTCGTAATTTAGCAACTTCATTTTCTAGACCATCAATGATTTTGTTCTTCTCATTATTTTGTTTTTCTAAAATGCACAATTTTTTTACCATATCATCGAAATTTTTAGATGTAACTGTTGCCATTTGACTAGAAGATTGTTCTATAACATTTATTTTAGTCGTTAAACCACCATTTATTTCTTTAAGAGCCGATACTGCACTCATTATAATTCTCTTGTTATAGCTTTTATTTATTATTGTTTTTCTTACAAAAAAAAAAGCGTCTGCCATCTTTAAAAACGGCGCTTTCTTTTTGTAATGTTATTAATTTTTTGTTGGTAATTTTTCAATATTTTCATTTTACTATTTTACAAGTAAAAAATTATAAAATATAATATTTTATTTCCTTATAATATAAAATTTTATAAAAATATAATATTTTAAAACCTTAGTTATTTTAAATTAATACTTTATGTATATATTAAAAAGTAAAAAAATACAACAAAATAATATAGGCATGTATTAAAAGTTAGAGAAATACATCAAATAATATAGGTGTAAAATAAAAAATACAACAAAAAATAAAAATAATAAATGCGTATATATATATCTATAAAAAGAAAGATAAAATAATATACACTGATCAAAAAGTAAAAAATGTAACAAAATAAAATAGTATGCGAATACAGCGAATATATGTCAAAAAGAAAAAAAAAATTAAAAAAAGTAAAAATAAACCTATATATATAAAAGGACAACTAAATAATAAAAGAAAAAAAAAAAAAAATAGAGTAAATAATAAAAGTATATGTAATAAAAAACAAACAAACTATATTTTACCAATTATAACAAAACAGTAGACATAACAAAACAATCAACATAAAAAAATAACTAACATAACAGAACTAAGAATATAACAAAATACTAACATTTTGAAAATGAATTATTCAAACAAAACGATGAATCTCTTAAAGTAAAACTGAAACAAAAACTTAACAAAACAACATAAAAAAATGTAACAGAAATTAAGCTTAAAAATTTAGGTGTTTTAAAAGTGATATTATTAATATTATAGATAGTAATGAATCATAAATATGTGATATCTCATTAATATATAAATTATTATTATACATTTTAAATTACTTAATAATACTGTGTATTTTTGATTTTATTTCGTCAGTTATATTTTCACTAGTTACACTTAAAGCAGATTCTAGCTTTAAAATTAATTCATCAGATAGTTTTTTGTCAACATGGTAAACTGTTGCCCAGGTCTCACCTTGTTGAATCAAATTACCGACCTTTTTAAATAACTGAATGCCAGTATTATGAGTTACAATATCACTCGGTTGTAGACGACCTGCTCCAAGAACTCCTGATACTTCTGCACATTTCAAGGGATCAATACCAATAACTGTACCAGATTTAGAAGATTTTATATCTGTGGTATGATTAGATATAGGTAAAACTGTCTCTGGAGATTTACAAATTGCTTTGGATGTTTCTTCATCTACTCCTTGAGCAACAAGCATTTGTCTGAACACTTCTAAAGCTCTTCCACTAGATATAGAATGTATAACTTGAGATGAAGCTTCTTCAGGCGTAGCCGCTAGACCTTGCTGTAACAACAATTCCCGACCTGAATATTTAAAACGAATTTTCTTATTTTTTTTTTTGACTGTTGGAATCATAAGCATGTTTAAACATTTATATTATTATCATTATGTTAATTAAAAGTTTAAAATTTATAGGCATTAGTTAATAGTAAGTATAGTATATAATAAAATTATACAGATGAAAAAAATTAAGCTAAAATTAATTTGAGCTAAAATTACCTTGTGCGATAACTAGATCTAAAACATCAGATGGTCCTTTTCCTTGAAGACAGTGTACAGACTCAAGAACTTCCAGTGAATTTCCTATCATCATGCCTAAAGGCTCTTCCATGCTTGTAATAAGAGCAGTTGTTTTCATGCCAACACCTAAAAAAATGTGTTATTACATTTTTCTAATCAATAATATAATAACTTATATTAATGATTTATATTATTAATATTGATAATCTAGAGTCAATATGATAAAATATATATATGCTCTTTACTTCCAGAGATAATAAACTTTAGAGTACCTCCTTGAGACATCAGTTTTCTATAGGAAAAAAACTTACAACTTCTAGCAACCTGGAATTTATTACTTTTTACGTTGAGCCCCAGTTTCCAATTAAGCAATAAGAACGCTTTGCAAAGATGTAATTTCCGATTGTGCTTATCACTTTTAACACATTTTATTTATAAGAAAATAAGTAGTGTTGTGATTAGTTTTTTTTTACGATTGGTCCTAAAAGTTTTTCAGTAAAAAAAAATTCATTAGGGACAATTTATATTCCCATTTTTCTGTTGAGTCCTACAAACCATGACACAGCCAACCTAAATGGCAAAGTCACCAAGAATTTGTTGAAAAGGTATTTTTTGTAGGGCATTGGTATGTGAAATTGTGGAAATTTTTCTTTTATTTAAAATTATATAGTTTTACAATAAAAATGACTGTAAACAAATGATCTTCTTATATCTTGCGTTGTAAATTTTAACTTCAACAAACAACAAACTCAGTTATTTACTCCAAACAACTAGCGCAATACTGTCGACATTCTTATATTAAGGAATGGTAACCCTTTCACTGAGTCCTCTTCTTTACGCCTTATTGAATTAATGTTTACTATTGACTTTTCATGGAAACCATATATACAATCGATTGCTAAATTAGCATCTGCTAAGATTGCTTCTTTTTATCATGCTCAGCATTTTCTTACTCTTGATTCCATTCTCTACCTCTACAAATCTCTTATTTGTCCCTGTATGGAATACTGTTGTCATATTTGGGCTGATTCTTCTAACGATGCTCTTGCAAAATGTTGTTTCAAAAGTTGTTGAAAAACATGTTTTGTTTCAAAACATGTTGTTTCAACAGCAGATACGCAGCAGCATAAAAGATATCCTGCTGCATATCTTTTATGTACTATGCATCACCAGAATGTCATCAAAAATAAAGCACGTACAAAAAACTAAGTATAAGGCAAATTAACATATGGAGAATGATGCGAGACGCAAGCTTGTCTTTAGAAATAAAAAAAGTCAGTACTAATACTTTGTTATCAAAATCTTTTTCTATGTCACCTTGGTTCTCATTACAAACTGTTGGGCACATATGCACGATAGGGTGAAAAATAAATACATTGAAAAAAATATTTTTTTTCTTTCTTATGCTCTCAACCTTTTATTTGGTTCCATTTAATGAAAAAATGATATTGGGAAATTTTTGATGCAATATGTTAATGTTTAGGGGTTGCTCAGCCAGTTTTTTAATTTTGCAAGATTGCTCTAACACAATTTTTCATATTTCTCATTATTTATCACATCTATTCTACTTTGTTGAGAATATTATCAATACTTTATTATTTCCTAATCTTATGAGTCATTATGCATAATACACTTTGTTATTTTTTTAGAAAATTATTAAGTTAGTTATTAAACCTATTGTAATACTTCATCATCCACTTAAGTTATTGCATCAGTATTGTACTACTACTGAAATTAGTACATCATCCCATAATTTCAAATGATTTCATTGTCTTGAATGAAAATTTAAAAAAAACATAATTCTATAGATATTTTCGAAGTCGATTTTAATGGAGAATAGAAGTCAAAATGAAGTATTGGTCAAGCCAGAACTGTGATCACAGAAAAAAAGCTGCCATCTAAAAGCAAGTTTTGAAAACTTATTTTTTCTTTTAAAATAACAACAATGTAAGAGAAAGTCCAGGCCTTGTGACAGATCTGGTTCTAGACCTTTGGCAAAAAGCTAGAGTTTCGACAAAGCAAACCTTATCATGTTATAACATATGTTGAAAAACTTGTTGAGAAATACGGAAAGCTGAAAAAGAATAAAGACCGCAAAACAGAAACTCAGCAAAAAAATGAAGAATTATTTGATATTGCTTATGAAGATGCTTTAAAATAAATCATAATAAAAGACAAGATGTTTCTTATACTACAAAGAGAAGGAAGAAAAGGCTGCATGAGTTCAGTTGATTGTGAATTGTTCAAACAAGAATAGCCTATTTTAGACAAAAAAAGCAAAGGAAGAAAGAGAAACATAAGAGCTAAATAGAAAAGAAAAAAAACGTGTTTATCAGTCACAGACCCAGTTTTGACAGAATCAGAAAATTCTGAATTGTTCTGGTTCCTTGGTTTTGTCTACAATTTGTCAAGGGTTAGGTGCCAATAGTGAACATGTTTCAACATCATATGAATCTCTTCGATGTGCGCATATTGAAAAACATAAAGAAGTTGCAAAAAGAATCATTTTAGAATTCAAGCCACAAGTTTCGTTAACTGTTCATTGAAACAGATAATCGTTACCTGATTTGAACAGCAGAGATGAAGTGGATCGACTGCCTATATTAGTGACAGGATATGATGTATAAAAACTGATGTCAGTCCTAAAACTGGATAGATGCACCGGTGAATAAATGAGTTATGCAACAAAACAAGCTTTAAAAGATTAGAACATTTCATATGACAAAATTGTGGCACTCTGTTTTGATATTACTTTAAGCAACACAGGTATACATTCAGGAACTTGTTCCTTGCTTTAAAAAATTAACTGGAAAGTCTTTATTATACACAGTCTGTCAACACCATGCTCATGAAGTGATTTTATCCTATGTTTAAAAAACTTGCTTTGGAGCATCTTCTGGTCCAGAGCTTAAGTTGTTTCTTTGATTTTGTGATCAGTGGATTAAATTCAATTCTGAATCTTGGCTCTTACCTGATGCAGATCTCAAAGTAAATGGTTTGCTTGTACCATCAGCAATAGAATTTGCTGTAAATATGCTGCAAGGAGCAAAACAACCTTGCAATGATTACAAAGAATTTTTGCAACTGTCAATAATTTTTTTAGGAAAAACTCTTCCAGGTCAAGGCGGAATAACCTTTCATACTCCTAGTGCTATGCACCAAGCACGATAGATGGTAAAAGCACTCTACTCTATTAAAATATACTTGTTTCGACATCGATTTCATTTAACAAAGAATGAAGAGAAGAATCCTTTATGATTTTCAATTTTTGGAAGAACATCAATGTCAAATTCCAGATATGGGAAAGTCCACAACTGTAAAGGCATTAATGAAAACAAGTGAACAATTTGTATCAAAATCTGATTAAAATAAACATAAAATTTGAATAAAAAAATTAAAACTTTGCATCCAAAAAAATTAAAATACATTCGTTTTTATTTTCCGCTGACCCTAAAATCTGATAATATTAAGTTCATTGAGCAACCCCTAGATATCAAAATATCATAATAATTTTTTGCACAGTTTATTTTTTAGTTAAAAGGAACAAAATAAAGGGTTGAGAGCCCAATTTCGAATACTTTTTTTTTTTTCACTCTAATGCACAATTTGCAGACATTGGTTCACCTCATCTGGAAGTGTGGGGTTAAGGAAATCCTCATTTGCTGAATACCCCTTAAAATACAAATTATTTATCACTTTCATGTTTACATAAGTATGTTCTAATAATGAACAACTATCTGAAGAGATCTATGTTGGCATTGTTACGCAGTGGGTATTTCACCTTTCTTGGTAATAAAATTTGAAGTGTTTGCAACACTAAACAGTTGACCATTTATTGACTATTAGAACACAATAGAAAGATCAGTGAGCATTTTATTGGTATTTTACCAATTAGTAAATTGGTTGAAACAAAACTTAGCACTCTAAACATTATAAAAGTGCTGATTGAATTATTTCAAAATAATTAAGTTCCAATGGCAAACTGTTGTTTTTAATTGGAACATTATTGACTAATTAGAAGTTTTTTCATTATCAGCCACTAGGTAGCAGTTTTCTACAAGAAATTGTAGATATTTACAAAGAACATCTTGTAACAACAGCTGATCCTGTATGTAAGTGTAACAAGATCCTGTATGTAGTGTAACAAGATGAGTAGCTACAAATAGTTACAAATTTTTTACTGCTCAACAGAATTCAATTAAAAAATATATTGTTGGAGTGTATTTCTTTATAATTTCTCTCTGTACTGTAGTTATCTTCAATATATAACCTCTTTAACGAACAAGTGGTTTGATTTTTACTTAATTTATTATTTACTTATCTTATATTTATTTATTATTGTGTTATTAATGTTATATTTTATGTTATTATTATATCTAATTATCCACCCCCAGCCAGAACTCATGATAACTGCATATAGCTGACCCAGAGAAATGGCTGGGTGCATATGAAAGCCCTTGATGTCTGGATTTCAAAAATATAAAATTTGAAATCCAACTATTTTGTCTCGGAAAATAAAATGAGTTTTTATTTTTATTATATTACAGCAACTAGACAAATGACAGCATAACTATTTTTTGCATTTTTACAGTATACAAAAATTTTTAAGTGAGTGATAATTTTATTATTACATGACTAAAACATTGTTTTTTGTTTTTATGACTTTGCAAAAAGAGCATACCTGTTTTTCTTACATAAAATGACTTTTTGTTGTTTTTGGTGTTAAAATTACAGGAAAGGGCTATTCTCAATACATCAAAACAAAGAGCCACTCATTTTTACGATTTTGGAATCATTTGGTCTTTCAAAATGCCCAATCAAACTAAAACTCACAAAGATTGCCGGAAAACTGTGTGTTTCTTGTGCTTGAAAAAAAGTACAAGGACATTTTCACCATCAATGGTACAGGAAATTTCAAGCTTGTTTGAACAAAAGGTCAACTTTGAAAATGAACGAACGCCAATTGGGATTTGTGAAGGATGTCGTTCAACACTGTGCAGAAAACTTGATAGAAAAGAGGTTGTCATGCCAAGAATCTATGACTTTGAAACCATTAATGTCAGACGACCTGCAAGCGGACTGATCTGTGATTGCATTATATGTCAAGTTGGGCATCTAAAGCTAAATGAATCCCATCCTCTTGAAAAAGTCAGAAAAATGAAAACATGTGAAGAGAAAGCTGTGAATAAAAATTCAACCTCTGACCACAGATGTTCCAAATGCCTCGGTTCTGGGGAAACAAATTTCTCATGTATGCACTGAAGCTAAGTTTCGTGAAAATATGAGACTTTTGGCATCAAATGACAGTGCAGTTGCTCAACAAATTGCAGCCTCTGCAATAGCTGGCACAGATGCTTCCCCTCAAGGAACAATTCGTCTGGCTCAAGCAAAAGGTGGACAACCTTTACCTGTCACCCCAGATAAAAATGACTTTATTGTAGTATAATTAAATGTGTTTTCAATTTTATTAGTTCTCAATGCCAAAAATGTGGTCAATTCTTGAGAAAAGTCAATTACTTTAATTGTGACAACTTGTAAAATTTAAATAAAATTGCCAAAATATTTACTTACAGGTCCTTCAAGTGCAAGAAGACTCTTTGGATCAAAATCCTTAGTTACTGCAGGAGATCTCGTTCAAGTGCAAATCAATACTGGATTGTCAAACACAAATGTGAAATTTTTTGATCAAACAGATATTCTACCTGAACAAGCCAATGGAGGTATTGGCAAGAAACTTGTAGTTCACTGTAAAGATCTGCAAGAACTGATAGATGAAGTTCTTTTGTCACAAAAAGTCTTCACTAAGCCACTAATCAAACTTGGCATTGATTTGGTGGTGGGTTTCTGAAAGTCACACTGGGAGCTATTGAGAAAATGTCTTGTGAAGATGATCCTCCTCCATGTAAGAAAAACTTGACTACAAACTTTTCCAAAGATAGTGGCTGCAATCATTAGTTTATCATTGCAATTGCTGAAGATTTATCTGAAAGCTTTTTGAATGTCCAAAATGTTCTCTCTCTCATCAAGCTTAACCCTAAGGATTTTGTTGTTTCTTGTGATCTGAAGCTGGCCAACATCCTCTGTGGACTTTAGTCTCACTCATCATCGCATCCTTGCACGTGGTGTGATGCCCCATCAAATAACCTTGCACAATCTGGAAACCTTCTTCTCTTCAAGATCTCGAAGTCAATGTGGCCGCATGCTGAAAAGTGGCTAGATGCTCTTCACATAAAACAACAACCTTTCCACGGAGGACAATTGGCTGGAAATGATTGTCACAAGCTTTTAAGAAACCTGGATATGTTGCAAAACCTTGCAGAGAAAACGTCCTTAATTTATATTTGTCCCATTATCAACACTTTCCGGAAATTTAAAGCTGTGGTTAGTGCTTGCTTTGGGTCCACATTATCTTCTGATTTCTCTAAAAAAATTGACTTATTCAGAGAAGCATATATGGCAATGCCATCTGGAAGCGTGACTCCAAAAGTGCATGCAGTATTTTTTCATGAGAAGAACTTCATCCAAAAGAAAAATACTGCTTTGGGAATCTTCAGTGAACAAACGACAGAAGCTATGGGCCATCACTTACATCAACACTGGCAAAGATACAAGAGACCATCAACCCATCCAGAATATGGAAGGCAACTTCAAACATGCATAGTTGACTTTAACAGCAAGCATCTTTAAAGACAATTTTGAAACAGGAGCAGAAGACTTATTTCAAGAATTAAAAAAGTTTTGCATTTTTTTTTGTTACATTCTTTTTGTTAGAATGTATTATTGTTTATTTTTATCAAACCAGTGCTGTAAAATGAATGAGTACATAAGAAATAAAATTATCACTAACTCAAATTTTTTGATGCTGTAAAAATGCAAAAAATAGGTATGCTGTCATTTGTCTAGTTGCTGAAATATAATAAAAATAAAAACTCAATTAATTTTCCGAGACGAAATAGTTGGATTTCAAACTTTTTATTTTTGAAATCTTGACATTAAGGGCTTTTATATGCAACCAGTCATTTCTCTGGGTCAGCTATATACAGTTATCATGAATTCTGGCTGGGGGTGTATCATCTATGATTTGTACATACAATTTATATTGTATTATAATATTCTTAATATTATTGGTACTTTATTATTATTGTTATTATTTTGTATTATTACTATTATTATTACATATATCATTATTATTTGTTTAACAATCTTTTCTTCTTTTCTCTCTTATTTATATATACAGATGTTGAGTTTTTCCTTTTTTTTTTTTTTTTTTTTGTTTGCTTCTGTTTATTTATTTATTTTTTCGTTAAATTTTTATGTTTTTAGGTGTCACTCCATTGACTAGTTTGTAACTATATGAGTGACACCTAACCAATTTATATTAAGTTACAATGAAATTTGTAAATTTTATTGATATGCTCATGAAAGAGCATTCAAGGTTGTCTATAATGATTATTAACAATTATTAGGAGCTTTTTCATTTAGTTTGAAAGACGTTATCTTGAGACCATGGGTTTATTTGCTGCTCTTAAAAGAGCCACATGCCACAACTACACATCAGTAAAGTTATAGCGCAACTGCATTCATGATAATGCATTGGAGGAAATTTATCTAAGCTGTTTAAAGTTATTGCACTTGGGTAGAACTATTTTAATTGTGTAGAAATATTTTTTAATTTGTGAAAAACAATTTTTTTTAGAAACATTAAATTATCTATTTTTCTTAAATATAAAAATGATACTTAGATATCAAAGAAGGCTTGGGAATTATAATATGCAAATTTAAACCCAGTTGTTAAATAGAAAAAAACCAAGCTATAAATTATGCATAAAAAAAAGTATTAAATTCTATTCTTGAAAATTCTAAACTAAATAAACAAAAACAGTAAAATAATATCTAAATGCAGGCAAACAAATTCTTTTTCTTCCAAATCCACATAGGTGATTAACTAGTTTTTATGCTTCTTTTCTATTTTATTTTGACATCAGAACTCGTTATATAGCTTTATTCAAGAAATATTAAAATTAGTCATTCAAATTATCAATATGAATGTTTTAAAAAAACTATGAAATTTAATAAATTTTGGCAAATAAGCTTTAATTTTTATATTGTTTCAAAGCCTAAGTAGCAAAAGTGTCATTTGGACACTTTTGGGATTTTTCATTGGGATGAAATAACAATAAGATATTGAATAAAAAGCATAAGTAAAGTAAAAAAAAGTAAATTACAGACCGTTGCCAACAGCTACAAGAAGTTTGGCTAAATTTTCTGCATCTGTTGGAGTACATTGGAAACTACCACGCCCATATTTTACATCAAGAACAAGGCTACTTAAACCCTCTATCATAAAAAAAAAAAGAAAGCTACTGAAACACTTTATTTAAAAATGTTGTCATATAACATTTTGTGAAGATTTTATTTTATGTAAATGATTATAATGGATTACTCAAGCAAACAATACAATTTAAAACTATATAACTTAAGAATTACAAAAAGTGGAGTAGCAAAATATTTAAACAAAAACAATTTTTAAACAAAAGTAATGTTAAAATAACAAATAAATTTGCCTTCAAATTATATTTTTTCTTTGTTTTAAATTGTATTAAAATTAAACTGCAATTGGTTTTAAATTATTTTAATATTAAAACTTTTTTTAAAGCATTCAAATACCTGCAGCTTTTTTTGAGATAATTGAACTGCATATCAGAGGTGCTGATGCAACTGTACTTGTAATATCGCGCAAGCTATATAAAATTTTATCAGCTGGAACTAATGTGAGAGTTTGTCCAACAATGCAGCATCCCACATCTTTGACTATATCTTGAATTTTATCAGTGGTAATATTTACATTGAAACCTGGTATTGACTCTAATTTATCTAATGTGCCACCGGTGAATCCTAGAGAACGCCCAGATATCAATGGTACCTAAAATGAATTTAGATTTTCATGGAAAAAAGATTTATTAATAAATAAATCCAAAAGTTTAATGATCAATAAAAAATTTTTAAACTTAGTACTTCATTAAATTTAATTTACTTTGACATAAAACTTTAATTAATTTAAAACTTATTTCAAGATAAAGATGAATAATAAAATTTATGTCAAGATAGAGATGAATATTAAAATTTATATCAAGATAGAGATGAATACTGAAATTGATGTCAAGATAGAGTTGAATATTAAAATTTATGTCAAAATAGATGTGATTATTTATGCTTACCATCAAATCAAGTTAAAATTTGAATTAAAATGAGAAAAATTTCATCATAATTGCATCAATGTATTATGTAAGATTGTTGCCATAATTTATTTAATATAGAAGAATGTACTTTTATTTTGTAGAAACAAGGTAATTACATTTATTTTGTAGAAGCAAGGTAATGATTTTAAATTTTGTAGAAGCAAGGTAATGACTTATTTTGTAAAAGTAATGATTTTTACTTTGTAGGAGCGAAGTAGTGACATATTTTGCAGGGACAAAGTAATGACTTTTATTTCGTAGAAGCAAAGTAGTGACATATTTTGTGTGGACAAAGAAATGACTTTTTTTTTGCAGAAGCAAAATAATGACTTTTATTTTGTAGAAGCGAAGTAGTGACTTATATTATGCGGGGACAAAGTAATGATTTTTATTTTGTATAAGCAAAGTAATGGCTTTTTTTTTTGTAGAAGACTTATTTTGTGTGGACAAAGAAATGACTTTTATTTTGCAGAAGCAAAGCAATGACTTATTTTGTAGAAGCAAGATAATGAATTTTAATTTGTTGAAGCAAGATAATGAATTTTATTTTGTAGAAGCATTTATTTTATGAACTTTATTTTGTAAATGTTGAGAAGTAGTGAAATATAATCTAAAAAACCAAAAGTAGAAGACTGACTATAAGTGTTGCTATTGATCAGGATAAAAATATCAACATTGTTATAATAATGGTATACAGCAAAAAATAAGAGTTTTGTTTAGGTTATTACTTGTAAGCTATTATGAGCCCAAAATTGTTGCAGAGGAGATACCTTTAAGATCTAAGTAATCAAAACCTGATGATATTTATCAAGAATAAAATATCTACCTTTTTATCAAGAATAAAATATACAGTTGTGTCATCAACAAACACTTTAGAAGTAAGATTGCCACTTTAGAGATAAAAATGTCACTTTAAAGGTAAGATTTACACTAGAGGTGAGGTTGTCATTTTATAGATTAGAAGGTCTTTCAAATGAGAAACAATATGGAACCAAAGAAAAACCTATTGTTTGCTGTTTAAGTCTTTAAATTTTAAAAATTTAAACAGCAAACAATAGATTTGTCACTATTTACAGAGTTGAAATTTAAAAATTTTTAACACGCAGAACTAATTCCAGAAGACCTGTATAATTATTTTTCTAATAAAAATCAAGGTCATTTTTTATTCACTTTTATAATGAAATATAACTTAAAACAGTAGTGTAACATGTTAAACTTGATTATAATTTATTATAATTATAACATCGTAATATAAATGAATTCAATTTGTTTTATATCAAATTTAGTCATTTAAAATAAAAATTATCAATTGTTATTTTGAAATTAAAAAAAATTTATCTGTAATACTATTACATATTACTCCTGCATATTTTCATATTGACACTATTACTAATAGTGTCAATATGAAAATATGCAGGACTCAAATTATATCGCGAAGGTGTGAAAAGCAATCGCATATCGCGATTAATCGCGATATGCGATTGCTTTTCACACCTTCGCGATTAGTTTTTTCTTAAAAAAAATATTTCTGCGATTTGTTTTCGTTTTTTTCTAGTTTAGCATTGTTTTTTGGCAATTCTTAAAAGTATTGTTTTTGTTATAAAGTACGTCGTGCTAAATTTATCTTCTGAATAGATGATCATTTGCCCTTTTACGCGGAGATTTTCATTTGAATTTAAATTACTTTATATCTCTGAGTGCCAATAGACCAGTTGCAAATGTTTACACTTTTGCCGTAAACTAACGCATGCGCAGTAGTTGGTAGGCAAACGAAACATTGAAACATAATAGGCCGGGTGAATAAATATGAGCAATTGCTGTTACTCACTAATTGGTAAGGTTTACGTGAATAAAAACATGACCAATTTTGCTTAAGTTTTTGTTCACGTAAAACTGAGCAATTACTGAGTAAACTGCATAACTTTACGTGAGCAAAACTGCTAAAGTTTTTATTGAAGTAAAGCTGACCAGTTACTGAGTAAAAGCAATTGCTCATTTTTATTCACCCGGCCTAATGCCTGTATCTTGTTGTGCTTTTGGTTGCTCCAGTAGGAAAAAAAAAGGAGATTGTTTAAGTTTTTATCGAATTCCATTTGGAACAACAACAGAAAAAGAAAAAGAAAGAAGGAATTTTTGGATCAGAGCAATTAAACGAGATAAATGGTCTGAAAAACAAATAGATAATGCTCGTATATGCAGTCTCCATTTTATATCAGGTATAGTATTATATACTATTGCTTTAAAAGATAATTAAATTATGATGTTTTTAATTAAAACATTTTAGAGGAAAGAAATCAAACGATTCATTACACCCTGATTACGTTCCCAGCATACTTTCTTTTAATAAAACTGAAACTAATACAAACGAAAAGTTTAAGACAAGAGCGATCAGTTAATCGAAGACATAAAAAGATTGAACTAAATTACGTAGAAGATAATGAATTATCTGAAGCTGAATTAACTGTATTGGAAAACCCAAAAATTATTGTCGATAAGGGTACTAAAAACTAATACTTATAGTATCAATTGTTTTAAATTATAAATAAAGTATTTTTCTATAAAACTACAGTTCATTAAATTAAATCTATATTTTTAGGAATACAAACTAATGAAGAAGAAATTACATCATTAATTTAATAAAAACTTAACAATCAGATAACAACAAATTTAAAATTATTAGAGAAACTAAATTACTGGAAAGGAAGAGCAGCATGCGATTTTCATTCAGTGAAACTAAATTCTGGCGATTTAAACTTTATGACTGGTTTAAAAACGAAAAGATATTTAATTGGATTCTTTCTCTTTTCATAGAAAATGTCACACAAGTGCGAAAAGACCTGAATTATGAAAATCACTTCCTCCTACTTTTGATGAAGCTACGACTAGGTTTATCAAATAGAGATCTCTCCGATTTAATATCAGCAGAGAAAATGTTACCAAAATTTTAAGAAACTGGATCCCTGCAATGACTAAAAAAGTTAAATACCAAATTATATGGCCTTCGCTAACAGCAATACGACATAATATGCCATCACAATTTCTGAATTTTAAGAAATGTGTTGTCATAATTGATTGTACGGATATTTTTATACAGCGCCCAAATAATTTAGAAGCTCGAGCTATCACCTGGTCAAATTATAAAAGCACAAATACTATTAAGTACCTGATTGGTGTTAGCCCAGCTGAAGCAATAACATTTCTATCACATGGTTGGGGAGGAAGAATTTCTGATAAAGAAATTACGATAAAATCAGGTTTTTTAGATTTTGTAGGATATGGAGACAGTATCCTAGCTGATAGAGGATTTCTTATTGCAGTTAGCATTAAAAGGTGCAACATTGCACAGGCCTTCATTTACAAAAGGAAAAAAAAACAGTTATCTGCTAAGGAAGTTGAGGAGTCTAGAAAATTGTCTCATTTAAGAATACACATCGAACGTGTTATTGGAAGATTAAAGAGTTTTAAAATACTTTCAAGTGTTATTTCTATAACACAAGTTGACTTATTGAATGATATTTTGATATCTATTTGTGCAATAGTTAATTTAAACAAAAGTGTTGTTTCTTAACCAATTATTAAACATTTTTCTATTTAAAATATAAAAATAGTATTTGAATACTTTTTTTTAACAAAATTATGTATTGAAGAAATTATATATTGACATACTTTAATTTACAATATATTAAAAGATAAATCTTAAAGTTACATTGTCTTATCTGAATTTAGACAGGGAGGACATTACCATTTTCTTTTAGGAATTTCTTTTATTCAATACAAGCAAAATGAAATCATTCATATTTGCAATTAATATTGCCACATGGAACCATTTGACCAAATTGTGCTTTTTTGACAAAAACAGTAGATTTTACTTGAATATACTGAATTTGGCAAACAACTCCTAGTCAATAATTCAGGTAAAATCTTCAAAGTAAACACATTACTTAACTTAACAAGCATGTCTTAACAAAACGGTTCATTCTTTGACAAGCGATAAGAGTAAAATTTATTAGGGGACCATATAAATCACAATAAGGTAAATCACATACTAACATTTGGCCTTGCATTTGATAGTAGTAAGGGTGTTCTATTTTAATTACACGATTAGAATCCAATGGAAATTTTTTATCATTCTCTGAATATTCAAAACCATTTACATATTTGTAAGGCCATTTAATTTCCACAAGGCCTTTTCCATGACAATAACATTCTACAAATGCATCAGGACTTGCACCGACTTCAGGAAATTTTTTATTGAGATGCAATCCCGTCAAAGTTATTTTGAAATTTTTATGTTGTTCTGACATACATTGAAAATATTTTTCTCTCGCTTTACCTTCATTTTCAGTTCCATACTTTGTAGCTATTGTTCCATTAAAAGACTTATACTGCAGGATTTTGTTAATAAAACTTTTATTATCATTTTTTAACAAGTGACATGCTTCTTAAAAGTAGGAAGCAGTAATCCTATCTGCTCTTTCCAACACTGTGAAAAACGTTGAGCAAGAGTTATTTCTGATAATCTGTCAAAAGTTTTTTGGGTATAACATTTTTTGTAAAGTTTAAATTGTTGTTTGCCTTTATTTATTAAAGCTTCTTGTGAAAATTTTGTTAAATTTGGTTTAAATAGATATGTCAAAGGTTCTGGGATACACGTTTCATCAGTTTCTTCTGCTGTATCATCAATACTTGTTAGAACAGCAGCATCAAGTCCTATTTCTTTCAGTTCATTAACCTTGGACTTTGAAATACCAGCATACTGTTTATGAGAACAACAATTCAACATTCTTGGATATTTGATTATGAAGGGGTAACTTATTTTTTTTTTCGGACAGCTAAAATTTATAATTGCTAATGCTGTTGGACTAACATGCTTTTTAGATCGATTCCATTGTAAACTTGTACAAGCAGTTTTATTGATTTCAAGTCTTATACAGGCTTCAACTTTAAAAAGTAGAACTGATATATGACTGCAAGCTGATCCAAATCTAAAAAATAAGTTATCAAAAACTTAGGTTTTTAATATACTAATTATTATTTCACATTATTCATTATAAATTATCTTAACTAATATAATTCTAATATAATATAATCATATTATAATCTTAAATAATCAAAATAATTTTATGTTGTTAAAACAACCTAACTTAATTGTTAAAGTTAACATACCCATTTTATGTTACTAAAAAACTTAATCTTAATATCCAGCAACACAACTGCAGTTTCCATTTAAAATATATCCTTTGGATTTGTGAACATAAATTCAAACATCATACATTGCTGTTTTTTCCCCTTGTCTTTGACTTGGTAAGACTTAAAATCACCACATTAATTTGGTTTAAAATTTATTGTAGTTGTATATATTAGTTATATTTTAGATTTCACTAAAATTGTTTTTTTACCTTTGTTTTTAAAGCACAAAACTCAGACTCTTCATTTAAATCAACATAAAAAACATCTTGCACGTGTCCACAGATAAAATAATTAAAAGCCTCAAGGGATTTATAGGCTTTCATACTTTCTTTGCTATATAAACTTTGTGATTCTACTAAAAATGTGTATATATCACCATAAGTGACTTCAGGAAACATACTAACATTGTTTTTCCAAAATTTTTCTTCGATACCATAAGGATAGGGGAGCAAAACATTATTTTCTAATGTCAACTTCTTCAAATAAAATTCTTTATCAGGATTAGCAAGAGAATTGAAGTAAGAAGACATTTCTTAGATGAAACTTTATTAAGTAGTCCGAATTAAAATACTTGTTTATTTTATATTTTTGCCTACCAACTAACGCGCATGCGCTTAAATTGTAAACATTAGCAACTCGTCTATAATATTTAAAAGGTCATTAAAGCAAAAATTGAAAAGGGAAAAGACATTAAAGCGAATTTATTGTTCAATCTTTTTTTTTTAACAAATCAGCCTGGTTTTTATCTTTGTCTTTCAAAACGTTGCACCAAATTAACTTATTATTAATGATTTAAGTTATTATTTTATCAAGAATTTTATATTATTAATTTTACTACATTAAGTTATTGAAATATATACTAATTCGTTTTTATTAATTTTTTTTTCTAATATTTAATCAATGCTAATAAAAACCAGCAACTTTTTTGCATCAACGTTTTTATACTTAACTTAATGAAATATAATTTGATTTATTAAACCAAATTTTTTTGTTTCACTTTTTGAATGAAAAAATTGAATAAAAACATCAATTTAAAAACCATTTAAATGAAAAACTTAATTATACTTAAACTTTTATTAGTCCTCTAGATCAAGAAACAATAAATTATAAAAAAAGTGGTGTCTAACTTTTTTTTCTTAAATCTTACTCGTTTGGCCTATAGATTATAGACTGGTATGGTCTATAGATTATAGACTGGTATGGTCTATAGATTATAGACTGGTATGGTCTATAGATTATAGACTGGTATGGTCTATAGATTATAGACTGGTATGGTCTATAGATTATAGACTGGTATGGTCTATAGATTATAGACTGGTATGGTCTATAGATTATAGACTGGTATGGTCTATAGGAATGTTTTTGCGCAAATATTAAGTTTTATGACGATAATTTTTAATAACGATAATTTTTTAATTTATTAAATAGAACAATTTCATTTATTTGCTTTGTTTTATTTTAAACACGTTTTATGTTATTAAGGTTATAAATTGTATAAAACAGCAACAAAGCAGCTTCACGAAGTTGTTTTACATTAACACGAGCTATTTATATTTTTAAAACAACTTTGCAGATTGTTTTAATGTTGTTTTATAGCTTTTTACAACAACAATTAAATACTCTTTAAAAATAATAGGTGTTTATTGTCAGCATGAACTGTTTGTTTTTTACTCTTACTTTTTTAAGTATCATTTTAAATAAAAACAATTACTAAAAGTAATATCTTAATAGTATTAAATACGTTACTTGCTTATTACACTATAACTGCAACTTTAACTTAAAGTCATAAATTAAGCTGTAAATTATAACAGTAACCCACGCTATTTTAAACTCCTCCAAACAAGAAAATTATAAGATAGTATTTAAATATGAGAGATAATATGTTAAAAAATAACAATTACGTACAAAGGTACAACTTAATGCTAACGCAACATCTCCCCCCCGCCCATTACTGCAAAGCGGCGCGAGCTATGAGAGGGGGGGGGGAGTCAAAAAATTTTTTTTTTCCACGATTAGATTTTTTTTGCGATAATTCGAGTCCTGATATGTTTTTTTAAGTTTAGATTGTCTAAATAAAAAAAAGTGTATATATATATATATATATATATATATATATATATATATATATATATATATATATATATATATATATATATATATATATATATATATATATTAAAAGCTTTGTGCAAATTGAATTACACATTGAATTGCAAACTGAATTGTAAATTGAATTGCAAAATGCACATACTTTTTTAAATTAATTTTGACTTGAATTGTTGCTTCTATAGTCGTTATATTGATTTTTTTTTTTTAAACAAAAAGTTCTTTTATAAAAATTAAAAAAAAAAAAAAAATAGTTCGCTACTTGTAAACATAAAGATAACAATATCTTTATGGCTTTCCCAAAACAATATAGCAAATATAATTTTATAATTACATAATATACAACTTAGCAAAAAAAAAAACAATGCAATAATTTTAAAAATTCACTAAAAAATAACGTGAGATTAGAAAAGTACATTGCACATAATATATGAATCCAATCGCTATAGTATTCAATGGATATTCACATCTTCTATGCTACAATATTATTACTTTCTTAAAATACACATTTTAAAAATAGCAATATTAAATTTAAAAATAAAAGAAAACATAATACTGAATAAATACTGTTATACTAACTTTTCACAATTGGATTTAAGAGAGACTGTTTAAGCCCTTCTATAGAAATTATATTAAAATTTTTAAATTTGTTGAATTTTATAGGTAAAATTTATATTTAAGGCAAAGACGAAGAGAGATCAATAACTTTATTTATTAATCAAATTAGTTAAATTAGTTTTTAAAAAACTTATTTCAAAATTTTATTGTTAACCTTCAATAAATAAATAATTTACAAACAATGCATTATGATAAAGAGTTGGATAAATGAAAAACTGTTAAAGAGACTTATAGAGCTAAAAAACAAAATAAAAATAAACAATAAAAACAAACATGTAATAATTAAATTATATACCTTCAACCCACATGCAGCCAGGGCTGGAGCTAATATCAAGCTTACTTTGTCTCCAACACCTCCTGTTGAGTGTTTATCAACAACTAAATGTTTCCATTCTTCTGGCCAACTAAGCACTTCACCAGAACCAGTCATGATAGATGTTAATGCAATGGTTTCTTCATTAGTCATTCCTGAACATATTTAACTATATACAAACATATAACAAATTGTCGCTTTTATATGTCAACTAAACAAAGACTTTTAATTCCAAATAATTAAATTATATCATAGACTTTAAATTCATGATAAAGAAAACGTTTTTTTAATAATCTTTTTTTTTTTTTAATAATTTCAGAAACCATTTTTTATCCTTCCAAACATATCTAGCTACCAAAAAATGTCAGTTTTTCATTTTAACAGAACCAATAGGAAGATATATTTATGAATCTGTTTTATCCACACACAAGTGAGTAGAATTGTAACTAATCTTTCTTTTTTTTCAAAATAAAACTAATTTTATGATTAACTATCGGGTGGACATGGAAAAATCCAGTCAATTTTAAATAAAGATTTCTCTAAAACCACAAATGCTTTTTATTTCTATTTTTTTTTAATAAATTGATACTTCCTTATGTTTAATTGCGATGATAAAAATGGAAACAAATTGAGGTGCGTAAAAAAGTTGATGAGATGTGAATCCTCTAAATCGTTCTGAAGAGCACAAGATTAAAGAAATTTGAGCTAAAGTTAAAAGATTTCTCTGTAAGACAATGGAGTAACAAAAAATTAAAAGGACTTTCAAAAACAGTGGATTAATGCCACCAAAAAGGTGAAAAACAAACAAACTACAAAATGATGGCATCAACCCACAATAATATTTGATCTTTTGCCAAACAGCCCATTAAAATTAGATACAATCCTAATCCTAAACCCTAAACAGATTTAATATAAAAAATTGAAATAAAAAGTATTTAATGTTTTAGAGAAATCTCAATTTAAAGTTGATTTTTCTGTGTCTACCTGATTTTTCTTTTCCCATAACACAATGTCAGTAGCATGTGAGACATGCTCTGATTTTACTTCAAAAATAGTTTTTAGCTTTGAAACAAATAGCTGAAAAAAAGTATGTATGGTTTCTTCTTAAAACTGTGTAACTGCTGTTATTGCTTTTACTATTATTTTTATGATTTTGTATTTATTAAACCAATAGAACTACAACATTTTTTTTTCATCTTCACTATCAAAAAGGCTGCAAGCAACCACTATTAGAGTTAAAAGTTACTTAAAGAAAAAAGATGAAGTTTATAGAGAAAGACAACGATTGACAGACAACTTAAAAGATTGCAAATTATATGAATCAGGAAAACAAGATAAAGGAAGATAATTCTAAAGAACTGATGTTCAAGGAAACAAACTAAATAAATAAGAACTTTTGGAACACTTAAAACAGTCACAGTAAAAGGATGAGACTTAATTAAATGACGAGTAACACAAGAATGAATTTTAGTAGATGACACAAGAGTCACTAGCTCTTCAGAGTAGTACCCACTATAGTAATTATAGAAAAGAAAAAGTCAGAGTTAATCCTAAAAGATAAAGGGCAGATGCAAACCCAGCCCTGGCCCCGGCAAAATTACAAGATTTAGCATGGATTAATAGTAGGGCTAAAAAAAAGCTTACAATTTTTTAATAGAAATGTTCATATCAGAGTTTAGCATTTATTTTTTTATACTTTCTTGTAAAATAAAAACTATATTAAATGATTATATTGCAAAATGATATTACATCTTAAATGTAAAGACAGAAATGTTAATATTAATGCGCAGAAAGAAATTTTCACATGCCTTAAAGTAGAAAGTATGCTAAAAAAGTAATAACTGCTTTTAGTTAAACATACAGCCTAAACTTATTGCTGCCATTTTTATTGTTGACAACACAAAAAAAGTAGCGCCAAAGCAAGTAAATCAAAGTGGAATTCAAAACAGCATTTCGTCATAGCGAAAAAATTTGCTTTGCATGAATATATCTTCTTGTGAAAAACGGCCTTAAAAATAAGTTTTGGTTTATCATAATAGTGATGATAGCTTGTTTGAACATTGACCATGATAGTATTTGTAGAAAAAAAAAAGAAATGCAACCTTGCAACAATGGGAGAGTGGTTCAAGCTTGGCAGATAAAACAGATGAGTTTTTTTGCCATAAAAAATTTAAAACCACAAGCCACTACAAGCCTTAGGCTGTTACAGAAGAGAGATCAGATTAAAAACGGGCACTTGTTCTAAGCAATCAAAAAGTAAAGATTTTTTGTCAGGACAAAAGTATATAGTTAAGTCCTTAGCTAATAGAGGTATTTCAGATGTAAAATTTTCATGAAGATTGCTAATGTAGATAAGAAACATTACAGGAGCAAGAATTGTGGTATCCTTAAAGTTACATGAAATAAATTGGATGTTCATATATGCAAAATATAACATGAATTTTAAATAAAAAAAAAATATACTTTAGAATGTGCAATTGTTTATGCAGCCCCAGTCACAAACCCGCCTCGATTATATTTTATCAAACCCGGCCCCAGCCCCATCCGCTGTCAAATATTAACCCCGGTTGTTTACTATGACTCATCAAGTACACTACCCTTCATAAATATAAGAAGATCTAGATTATTGCAATAGCAATTAGAAGAATAAAATTGAGTTTTATCTGAGTTAAAGTTCAACAGCCATTGAGAGCCCCATGCTGTAGCAAAAATGAGATCCAAACTTAAATGCCCCCTCAAAGCAACCAGAGAGTGTTGGCTTCTTATCAAGACAAGAATAAAAGGCAGTATCATCAGCGAACAATGCTACCTTAGGTGTGAGAAATTCTGGGAGATCTTTAATGTAAATTAAAAAGAGTATAGAGCCAAGGATAGAACCTGAGGAACCTCTTAAGTTACAGGATATGAAGAAGAGTGCTGTCCATTGAGGACAACTATTACGATTAGTAAAGCAAGTAATAATAATCTTAAAGATGCCTTATACACTGTATGTAGAAAGCATATGGAGAAGACCAGCATGCCAAACTTTATCAAAAGCTTTAGAACTGTTGAGAGCAATAGCCTTAACCTCTCTGCATCTATCTAATGTACAATAAAACCTATCGGTTATTGCTGTAAGCAAATCAAGTTATTAGATTCAAGATGATAAATCAAGTGTTTGTTAAAAAAAGACTCAAAAAACCTTACTTAATAAGGAAGAAGACTAAGATTTTGTGACCTGAGAAGAGCGGGCTTTGACGATAGACAAAACCTTTTTACAAATTTATAACAGTAGTAAACAGTTCTCCAGAAAACAGACGTTTTCTGGAGAATTGTTTTGCTTATAGATATGAAAGTAATGGTTATAATTGGAAATTGCAGCAGCACAATGTGAGGAAAACTATGGAGGAGAGAGGTTTGACTTGGAATCATAGAGAGGAAGTAAAAGATTCAATGCCAGCCTGAATCCAAGTTATGTAAGAAGCACATTTGTCAGCAAGAAGACAAAAGAAATCTACCCAAGGGCTATTACTATGTTGAGACCTCATTTAGAGCCCTTTGGTATGGCTTAGGGCTTATTAATAGTAATGAGGCAATTGCTTGGACTAAATAGTGTACTGATTCAGGGATGTACACTCGTGGTCGCCTGATGGCACCAGGCAACCGAATATTGCGAAGAGCGACTCAAAAATTTTTTTTTTTCAATCGATTCGCTCGAAAGGGCGACTATTGATTTTTATCGGCAGTTCTATTTTTTTGTGTGTGTAATTTAAGAGATTTAAAATATGCAAAGTAACTAATGCAATAAGTAACTAAAATAATAATAAAACTCTATTTTAAAAGTCATAATGCTAAAGTTTGTTCACCGCATTTTCTATTGATAATTAGAAAATACAAGTAAAATAAAAACAAAAAGGTTTTATCGTTTAAACATTCTTTTTTTTTTATTTAATTAAATTTTAGAGATATGTAATAATTTAAAAGATAAGTAATAGAAGTAAATTTGTCCAATTTGTCGAAATTCTACATATACTGAAAAAAAAAAAATTTTTTAAAGAAATGACTAATGACTCTAGATTGCGTCTGGAAAGGCATTTTAATTAGAACTTTAAAAACTAGTTACTACTGATCATTAGAAACTTAGTTCAATTTACGCCATAAAAATTACATTTTAAATTACAAATAAATTCCAATCCTGCAATTATTGTGAGACCAGACAGTCTCCAATTATTTAAAAACAATTTATTTAACCATCAAACGTATATTATTTTAAACTCTCTAAATCAGTTTAAATAGAGTAGATATTTATTTCAGTTCCAATCATTTTGTTTACAATTAAGTTAATTATTAAGCTGAATCTAGAAGACGAAGGAATTAGTACATATAGAAGATGAAATATCTCAACTATTTAGCGATAAGGACAACAATAACGATGAATGCAATTTTGAAGGTTTCCTAAGTGAAGAAGAGACTGACGACTACTATAATAAACTATTAGTACATGCAAAAAATATAGCGCCTCTAATGGTAGGTTTAATTATGGATGGCGCTAATGTTTTAACTGGACGGAGACATAGTGTTCAGCAACAGCTAGTAGGTGCAACAATTTTCTCATTTACACACATTGTTTGTCGCACCGATTGCAGCTGGCACTGAAAGATGCAGCCAGCACTTCAAAGGAACTCCAAATTCGGCATCTATTTTGTGAGCAATTCTTCATTTTTCATCGAAATTCTACTGTTATATCAGCGGTTTATTGTAACGCATGCAAAGTTTATGGTGTAAAAGGTATTTTAAGAATTAAGTCTTGTTATATTTATAATATCTTAACGTATTTTTACTTATTATTTTTAGGTAGTATTAACAATCAAAATTTATATTAATTAATTTAGGCAATTTTATATTTATTTAATTTAGTATTTTAATTTTTAGGCCAAATGCAGTGTCATACGAGTTAATGGTACCAGATGGGTTGCGCATGTGGTAAATGCGTTGGAGAATCTTCTCAATGGTCTAAAAGCGCATATTTATAGTTATACCACTATCAGCTTGGAAAGCGACTACAGCGCAACACAGGAATAAAAGGCTAAGTTCTTTGCAAAGAAATTGGTTGATCAGCACTTAATGTCGACGGCAATCTATATTCTTGATGTGTGTAGAGCAATGATAATTTTTT